GCAAGTGGGGACTGAATATGAATATGTATAAGACAGAATATATGGTAATAGGATATGACATGAGTAATCCTGAGGTACAAACATACAACAAAGTAGGAAAGTGACGCAACAATGTCGAAAAAGTATTCGTATGGTAAACAGGAGTTTATCTAACCATAATAAAGATATTAAAATGAGAATCTATCGATTAGTAGTAATGCCAATTTTAAGATACGGGTTGGAATATAAGCAGCGCACTACAAAAGGCAGGACAAGTTGAAACGGTGAAAATTGACTTTCTAAGAATAGCATGCAGAGTATCAAGACTGGAACATGTCTACGTTGCCAAGTTTAACAAACTTCAATCGCTACAATATTGGTTTAAACTTTGCGCAAATGCCTATTTCAATACGACGTGATGAAAGATTTTTGTATTTCCTGGCAAATCAAGTAAATGTCGTTTTAGCTTGGTAGAGTCGATGTCTCAAATGAGGAAATTAGATGACGGACAAATGAAAGGGTATATACCAACGGTGGGCAAACTGCGGCTCGCGAGCCACATGCGGCTCTTTGAAGGATTATTTGTGGCTCTCGATAAATGTAAAATTTTTCAAAATTTGAAATAGAAAAAGCGAAAATTTTGAATTTTTAAAAATGGCATGGACTATCAAGGAGCTTGGCCACCCCTGGTATATACAATTGATGCCAAACAGTTGTTATGGTATGGGCATGTGATGAGGATGCCTGAAAACCGATGAACAAAAAGAGCTCTTGGATATATATCTCAATATAGAAGAAGAACAGGTAGACCAAATACATAACGGATTATGACTGATCGAGCCTTACCAGAAGAGTGAGCATCAAAATCATACAGAAAATGTCAGAAATTGTTTTAATTTATTATCGGTTAGGCCAAGCTGTTTTCACGTCTGTATTGCTGTTGTTATTTTTGTGCCTCTTACTACTATTATAAAAACTATGGCAAATTATAATAGCTAGCAAAATTTGTTACTTAGACTTACGCTTCCTAATATTTTTGTAAAACCATAATAACTTGGTGACATTAAACCAATGATGTACAACAATAGATACAAAGTAGGTTATAGCTTGTCAAATGAAAGGAGATAATTATCAGTAGTAATAACCCAAGAACGTTGATAATCGAAAAAATCTTATGACAGACTTCGAAAGCGTGTTGCCATAAGCAACACGCTTGAGAAAGTTGTTCTAAAATGTTTGAGGATTTATTAATGTTCGAGGGTTATTCGGATAGAAAATTTTTTGCTACTTAATTTTAAGGATAGTAAACAAAATAAAAAATTAGTTCGTTTTTTCTATAATACTGGTCAAGGTAAATTATTTAGGGTTTCTGTTGGTATTACTTAGGACCCTTATAAAATTTATGTTGTTTTCGTGATTTTTAGTAACATTTTCAGTAATTAAATAGTTGAGGTTAAAATATTAAAACATTTTTAGATAAATACGATTTTAACGTAGTATATATTTATTGTAAAAACGTGCTACAAACTAATGAAATAGAACAAAACACCTTTTCTACGTAAACAAATGGCAAATAAACGCATATTTCTTGCGTTCATTTTATTTTAAAGGTCAAACAAACGTCAGTGTGACCTATTTATTTGAAAACATGGTAAAACAAAACTCCCTGTTAATTTTGCCAACATTACAACAATTTGATAGGTATTATAGAAAAAAAAAACGAACTATAGATTCTATAACTGACGAAGTTGTATTTCCTCGCATGCTGTTAATAATTTTATTATGATGTTTTTGATGGATTTTTAAATATGGTTTTATTGAGTTGGGATTGTTATGACCCGTAATTTTAATGAGCTCTTGTTCTTGAATACCATTTTTGGCCAATTGACTAACAGCAGTCGATCTATTGGAGTGATTGGTAATTTTCTTTTCCTTTATATTTAAGCCAATCGCTTTAGCAGACGATTTTGTCCAATTTTGAATCATATTTTTCCCAATCGGCATATTATCGTACCACTGATCATTTTCTGCTTTCCAGTGACGATTTGGTCTTAAGAACAGTCTGTTGGTTTTAACATTTGGACCCCTTTTTCATATTAATTTTTTAAATAATCTGACAGGAAGTCGTACTGAAAACAGGGTTATATTTGTTTCACGGTTTGTTTCAAAACCATCGTTATTTGTTTCGATATGAAAAAAGTCAGTCATGCAAGCAGCAGCTTCTCCACCTCGCCAAGCTAATTCTACCGCGGCGATGTGATAAAATTTCCGTTGCAGCTCAACAGGGGAGTTTTCATCCCATAAATTTGCAATTTTGGTTATTTCGTCTGAACTTAATGCTGCTGAACTTTGTTTCCGCTTACAGGAATCCGATTGCAGTTTACGCCGTATGGAATCCCGAGCAGCTCGCGTTTTTTGAAATACAACACTTTTGAACGGATCAATTATGATTTTATAACTTTTATAATATTTTTCTTGTAAAAGTTTACTCGTCACGTTTCACATGGTTTTCACCGTAGTTTCTTTAAACTTTCTACCACCTTGTTTTCTCATATTTACAGCCTAATCCTTTAAAATCAACGCTAGTTCTTCCATCGTGCGATTGCCATCTAATTCATATTTTCTGACGTTACAAAAGTCCATAAATGTTTTCCATACAAATTTTTTACTGTTAACAGTGTTTTTTGGTATAGTTGATTCAATAATTGTATCAATTATTTCGTCTATATCACAACCAAATCGTGACATTTCGAAATTATTAAATATTAGAAACGTCAAAATTGAAATAAATCAAATATATTCATACCCATGGGCTGTTTTCAGTATAATGTTGTTCTGATTGGTTCTCTTCAATCAAATGATCTAAAATGAACTAATATCATTGGATTTCTACTTAAGCAAAAAAATTTCTGCATAATTATTGTGTTTTGTTTGAGCGGTTTAAGATCATTCATATTTAACTCGAAAAAATGAATTTATTAACCCAAGATGAAAAAATTCAAATAATTTTAATTGCAGGTGACAACTATGTACAAGTCCTACCAAGAGGCTGCGGTAGTATTTAATGAGCAACATTCCGATAGTTATCGGGAAGAAAATAAAAATAAAAATAAAAATAACTGGAAACTGAAAGCTCTAGTTATCAACAGTCTTTATCAAAGTCAACCAATTTTTTTATAAACATTTGAAGATGGAATAAAAACCATAACATTCCATTTAAAATAACGATTTTGTGGCCACCTTCCACATAACTTTTCTGGAGAGGAAGTGGCGAACATCTTGAAAATATTTTAGATCCAAACATGGAGCATATCATATAAACAAAATTTTATAAGCGAGGCAAATTTCGAGGCAATGGAAATAAAGAAGGCAGGGTTGTTGCTGACTTTTTGACGGACAACATTTCAAGTTATTTAGATGCTTTTTTTAAATTTTAGTTCTATAATTACATTTTAATTAATGACTTTGTTTTTGCTATGTCTTTTGTGAGCACACCAAAGTTGTACTTGCCACAGAAGATTGGCCGAGGAATCTTTTAGGAATTGGATTCTCCAACTGCATCAACTAGCATCAAGCCAGGATCTAATGTATTAAATGTGTTTCGATCACATTGTCAGTTGTATTTGGACATCTATGATGAATCTAACCCAACCTAACCGATTGATTACAAGTCGTAACTCTTTCTTTAGTTTAGTTTAAAATTTGATGAAGGTCATACTCAAATGATTGAAGAAAGTCGACGAAGTATATAGACATATGAGATTCAGCAAAATACAGAACGCCTTTTATGGCACAAAACACAAATTTGTTTCAAAAAATGGATATTTGTATATTTTCGGGAAATCAACTTTTAGCAAAAAATTGTTGGAGGAGCTGACAGGAAATGTATAGTATAGGTACTTGATTTTGATTGAAAGATTTTCTTTAATATGCGTTTATGCCGACCTTATGCTGAATTTATCCCTTAACGTTAACATTAACGATATAAGTACGAAGGCTTTAACGGCCGGTGTTTATTGAATGAAAACAAGAACTTATTTCTAAAGAAGGTTGCAATAAGACATCAAACGAAACGTCAAACGCTTTTTCAAAAGACGGTTAAACCCGAGAATTCTAGTTTTAGCTCTAGTTCTAGTGACAGTGTTAGCTCTAGTTTTGGTTGTTATTCGGCGTTAGATTGTTAACATCAGTAATGTTGAACTAAAACTAGAACTAACACTAGCACTATCACTAGAAACATTCGAGCCTCTCTTAAGACGGGTAAACTCGAATGTGTCTGTGTTAGTTCTAGTTTTAGTTCAACATTAGTGATGTTATGAAGAAACATAATTTCGAGAAACGATACTTGGAGATGTTTGAGACAATGTTGAGATATCGTCAATATCAATTATCCGAAACAAAACGTTTTCTGAATTTTAAATGTATTATAAAAGTTTTCAATAATTTTTCAAAAGTGTCGAGTTAAACCTAAATGTTATCTTAATTTCTTTTGATTAACTTGACCTAACCTATCTCTCTAAAGATGGCAGTATCCGAAACTAGCTAAACTGAAAGGTCTAAAAAATTAATGTTATTTAAATACTATCGGTTATCAGAAACGATATTGAGTGCTATCAGGAACGAGAAAGAGCAAAGTTGGATATTGTTTGAGATAACTTGATGTACGTCAGATAACATTAAGAAGATTGTCAGATGGGCAGAATGATGGTTAAGATTGCCATTAGATGATAACTTATGAAATGCTAATGAGTAATGCTTGGGACCAAAACCGACAGATTTAAATTTTTTTTTAGTAAATATTACTTTAAGTCTAAACTTAAAATGTATTTGATTATCTTGGTTCATTAAAATATTAACATTGTATTAAGTTTAAGATTAAAAATCTATTTATTAACGAATAGAATAAACTCTTGTAATATATTGATTCCCTCGTAAATAAAGAGAAAAAACATCTTTCTAATAATCATTTCATCTAATAAATAAATAAATATCGCCATTAAAAATATTGAACACATCGGCGAGTTTAAAAAAATTAAATCCACTTAATATATATAATTTGACACTTAACTGGCAGTGATGGTGTGGGTCAAGAGTAGATCGAAGTACACGTCGATTTAACTGGAGGTGCAGATTCTTCACCGGGTAACACATCTTCCATTTTCCATTGATCCCTAACGTTTTCGACTTCTAAAAAGACCCTTAAAACGTTTAAACCCGCTAAAGCCGCTATATCCTTTTCATTCCACGTGGGATCTTGCAGTAGTTCAGCCAACAGGTGAGGATATCTAGAAACGTCTTCTAAACCGTTCGGTGTCATATTAATTCCATCATAACCCGCACCTAAACCAACATGTTTTATACCAGCAACGGTTCTAATATGATTTATATGATTAATAACATCACTAATATTCGCAGATTCATTACATGTCACTAAATATGTATAAAAATTTACCATCACTACGCCACCATTATCAGCGACCATACGAAGGATATCATCGGGAACGTTTCTCGTTGAGTTACATAAAGAAAACGCGCACGAATGTGAAAAAATAACGGGAGCTTTTGAGGCATTTAAAGCTGCTTTTGCTGTATTTACAGATGTATGAGATAAATCAATAATCATACCGAGTCGATTCATTTCTTTGATTACACTCAAACCGAACGGTGATAAGCCTTGTTTATTCTTTGAATTGGATCCTTTCGCCCATGGTGTATCACACGAATGTGTTATCGTTAAATAACGAGCTCCTAAATTGTAAAATGTTCTTAATATCGCTAAAGAATTTCCAAGAGCGTGTCCACCTTCGACACCGATTAATGATGAAATTTTTCCTTTTCTATGAGTCTCTTTAATACCATCAGCTGTTAAAACCAGTGCAAAATGCTGAGTATTTAACTCGACCAATCTTCTAATAACATCAATCTGTTCAAGTGTGATCTGAACCGCATCCAAATGTTGAGATTTACAAGGCACATATGCTGACCAAAACTGAGCACCCAATAAACCAGCTTTCAAACGTGGTATATCAGTATGAGACCATTTACTTAATGACCATGGTTCCTTATCAGCTATTGAACTTAAATTTAAACCGCCCAGTTTATTATGAACAAATTTTCGAAGGTTCCACGGCAAATCGTTGTGACCATCGATAAGTGGAGCTTCTTTCAGTACTCTATAAACGGCTTGAAGACGTTCTTCGGGCGTTTTTAAATCATATTGTGGATTTAAAGCGAGTGGGATTCCCAAACCGGCACCCAATGTGGCAACGATAACGCAAACGACGAAACAAACACACCAAGGACCGCGTAAATTACTTCTCGACGAATCTGAATCATCAGTGTCACTGCTACAAGAACATGAATCGAACGGTGATGGTTGATACTCGTAATCGTCGATGTAACGATTGTGGTAGTGATGGTGCTGATGGATGACGTTATTGAAGTAGTGGGGTGCTAAACCAAAAGAAGTTTCGCGTACTGGAAGATCCTGTTGTTGGTAAGACTAGAAAAAAAATATATAAAATAAAATTAGAAAAAGACTTTAATTAATAAAACAATGTTACATGATTATAATATAATCATAATAATAGAAGTAAATATCTGCAAAGGAAGCACATTCCTATTTTATAAAACAATTAAAGTTAATGTGGTAATGTGATGAATTGTGCTTATTGGACGATTATTACAAATTGTGAAACTAGATATTAAGTTAAGTAGTCATTAATTATTGTTAAGTCAACATGTAAACGTCGTACCAATTAATAAAATATAATAAATATTTTACTTTGAGTTTCATATAAAACACTTCTAAAATTCATAAATAAAGAGGGTTTATTACATATCTAATTTAGTTAATAATAAGAAAAAATTGATGATAAAGTCAATGTTTATACGAAATATTACGTTTTTACTAGAATAAATGAGTTTAAAAATAACTTAAAAGTTAAACTTACGTTAATAGCTTAAGTTAATAAGTTAAAAGTTAAAATAACTTAAACTTTGAAGTTAAAAAGTTATTTTTATGAAGTAATATGTAATAATGAAGTAAGTTGGTGATAAGCATTATATATAAATACTCAATTAAAATATTTAGATGTTACTCTAGCTTTACCAACGTCGTCAGCAGATACTGAAAGTTTTATTTACTACAAAAAATGGATGGTGCAATTGCAGGTAATATTCATTGTTCATAACAATTAAAGTTGTACCAAAAATTGAGGTACCGAACACGATCCCATGAAGGTCGTTCAACTCGAAAGCTGAAAGTTTTTTGGAGCAGAAAAATATTTACGATACCTGAACAATTATTAAAGTTAAATTATAAAATCAAAGACTTATCATATCAAAGTTTAATCTTAAGGACACTGGATCACGATCTTATCTCAATTTGAAGTTCAACCTAACATAATTTCACCATCATTCGTACCTTCATCCTCTCCAAATCCTCTAGATCCTGAGGTTAAAGTTCATCGTTTCTAATGTTTATTAAAACTGATGTTTTTCCTCTGGCGCTTAAGGGAGATATACATTTAGACGAGCAAAAAAAATTAATTTCAAAGATTTAGTTCATTCACTACTATTTGCTGATGACTTACACAATATAAATATATATTAACACAACCCAAAATTTTTCAAAACGGCGAATGGTTGTCTTATTAGGGAAGGTTATGGCGTGAATTGTTTCACTTTAGACATTATAGCATTTGTTTAGTGGTTAGAATTACTTGAAAATACAGGGTGTCTCACGTAACTGGTTCGTTAGAACTTTTTCAGGTTCCACTATTCGTAGAGATTTGAAATTTTGGTAGTATGGGTTGTTCATTTGGAACTTTCGATCTAAAATATTTTCAAGATGACCGCCACTTCCGGTCTACCGGAAGTAGACCATAACTTCGCTATTTTACACGGAATGCTATAGTTTTTATTACACCGTTTAATTGTAAGTAAAAAAATAGGTTGATTTTGATAAAAGTTATTGGTACCTAGCGTTTTTCGTTTTCGAGTTATTTTGGTTTTAAGCTTTTTTTGGTAAATTTCAACATGCTCTTTAAAACTTCATATCTCAGCCAACGTTCATTCAAAAAACATCTACGTTGGCACGATTACTCTTCAGATGTTATCAAATAGATTGTCATTTGTTGTATCGGAGTATCTTATACAGGCTGGTCAAAAATTGAATTACTGTTTCTCCATATTCAATGGCGAGAAAGTCGAACATTTTAAATGGAAAGCTCCATATTTTTTTAGCCTATCAGAAAGAGAATTTAATTCTCTACAAATTACCTGTAAATATTCCCATACCTATTTATTATAGTTTGCCTCATATTGCGAAATTTATTAAAACATGCACGAAATGCAGGTTTTTTTATTAGAAAGCTATGGAATTTTGACAGTTTTTGGTCCATGTTTGTATTATTGTTGTCATTAGTTACATTTCACGACGGGTGTAAGTCATTGAACATCATGGTAAATTATTCCAACGCCGATATTTGAAATTTATTTTGTATCGATGGCGAATGTAATAAACTTTTGACAGGACGTGTGGAACACTTAATGAGAGATGCCTAACAAACCTAACGCCCATCACAACGAAAAATTTCAAAAAATTGATGAATTTCTTAGTTTTGGATATATCGAGACCAAAAGAAATCGCATATTTCCGGTCACCAGTGATAAAGACAACGAAATAAATATTTTATCGTATTTTATTGCATTTCCAAATTCAATTTAATAACAAATTTATATTATAAATTTATATTTTTGTTTTAACTTTTTGTTTTAATAGTTTCATTTATTTGATCTTCTGTTTGTTATTTTTGGTAAGTAAAAGCTAATAAACTAAAAGATTATCAATCATAGTTAATAGTACAAATAATAATAGAAATAAATTGAACATAAAACTGTCAAAATGTCCTTCTAATGTGGCCTTCTAATAAAAATACAAACGGTTTCCTGCATTTCCTGCATGTTTTGATAAATTTACGAATATGAGAGAAACTACAATAAATAGGTATAGGAATGTTTATAGATAAATTGTAGAGAATTAAATTCTCTTTCGTGTAGGCTAATAAAATATGGGACGTTCCATTTAAAATTTTCAACTTTTTCCCCACTGAATATGGAGAAACGGTAATTCAATTTTTAACCAGTCTGTATAAGATACTGCGATACAATGTATGACAATCTATTTGAAGATAGTAAGTATTTTTAGTTATTTTTCAAATAGAATTGGACATTTTCGTTAATTAACACACATGTTTAAAACCGGTATAATTTATAATTTAATTCTTTGTAGCGTCTCTGAAGATGATAAATATTTATCGAAACATGTAAGACTAAGTAATTAATAAATTTAAAACCAGTAAAAAGTACAGATTGATTAATTATTTCAATTATCAAATAATAGTGTTTATAGGAAAGCAAGCGGCAATTGATAGAGCTTTTTATGACATTTTATGATTAAAACTAAAAATATGCAATTTTTGAGTTGTGCCACTTTATTTCTAAAGGTGCGATATTTACCTACCTGCTTATAATAATATCACATCTTTTCAATGAAGAAAATATGAAATATAAAATCACTTCATTTAACTCATTTATTAATATTTTATGATTTAATACAGATATTAAATTGAGCTTCCAAGTGCATTGGTACATGTTTGACTTATTCGACACTGCTGTGAGTCTACAATCTTTTTAAAGTTGGGAATATAATTACTTAGGGCATTTCTCAAATAAGATTCTAAATGAGTATTATTATTTAGTATTTTTTATTATTTTATTATTTTCATTTGTGAAAATGCAGTTCAGGTGAAATATGTTGAACCACAACATGAGTACAAATTCTCAATACATTTTCGAAACTTTGTATATTTCTCTTCCGATAAATATTTTCAAAAATTTTCTTTAGATGCCCTTGCTTTAACATAGATATCGTTTTGCAGTGTTATGATTTCTGATTCTAACTTATGTACATCCATTTCGGACAAGTTAGACAGTTTCTCTGCAACTTTTTCTATATTTATATTTTTATTAAACAGAAAAGTGATAAAAAGTGCCACACCATCAATTTTTTTAAATCTTGAAGACGATTGTCAATCTCTGCAAATAGGTTTTTAATTTCATTTTTATACCTATTTAAATCGATATTGGTAGCAGCAATATTTTTTAATTGAGACGTCATATTGGGAAATGAAGTGAAATTATTATCATTCGTTCTAGATAACATTATGTTTAGCAATGTTTAGTTTTTGATTAAAGGCATTTACAGAACTCATCATGTCAAAAATTATTTTATTATGTGCTTGAAGTTTTAAATTCATGTCATTCAGCTTATTTGTAATATCTGTCAGAAAAGACAAATCTACAATCCAAATATCATCCTCTAACAATCTGTAACAATTCTGTAATCGTCGCCTCTTGTAATAAGAAATTGGTTAATTTCCTCAATTAAATCACGAAAACGCATCACAAGTTCAGTACATCCTTCGTGGCCGCTTTCTTCTACGTATAATTTAAAAAGCCTGCTTTGTTAACTTTTTGCTCGTATAGAATTGTTGATTTTAAAAGCTATGGTCATGATTTCTGGCATATTGTGAATTTTAGAGCACAGCATAAATATCTTTATTAGCATAAATCTGAAATATCTATTCCAGATTTATGATTTTGTTGGCGATCGACTCAAAATGGCTTCGCGATCGACGTTGTGGACACCACTGTTCTATATGAACCTAACAAATTTGAATAAAAAAAACACAAAAAGACAAAATTTTTAGGATAATTTTGATTGAATGCAATAAAATATTTTTAAGTGACTAATACAGGATGTTCAGATATTGCCAGATAATCAACACGTAGCGATATTCTGCGACCGACTCTGAATCGAAAATCTTAATGTTAAAATGTTGTTCTACAATGCTAAATAAGTTTTTCATGAAGATATGATAATGAAAAAATGTTAAAAACTAACATTAAAGCTAAAGAAAATAACTTGAACAAAAAAAGTAGTTCTCAAAATTCTTTTTATTCTAAATTACAGCTTAATAACAGATGTTTAATATTAATGATTATTTATGAACAAATTATCTGACCTTTGAGAACCTCATGAAGACGTATTATGAAGCATGCTACAACATTTTACAATTAAGATTTTCGCTTTAGAATCGAACGAAGAATGTTGCTGCGTGTAGATTATCCGAAAATTTCTGAACAACCTGTATAATCTTTTATGTGCAAATAGAAAACGATTTATTATTTAAATGTGCAAGAAATTTCAGAAAGATTGGTTGAAAGAACACGTAGTATTGAGAAAATCGCGTTTAAACTTTCAAATTATAAAAACTGTTTTTTTTTCAATTTCTAATGACTGGAATTGCAGATTAGTTAGATAGATATATAATAAAGCCTCCGTTCCTTTATAAAATGGACCCATCGCTATCTTTTCTTTTCGTGTTTTCCAAGCGTCTGAGGACAAAGCACATTCCGTCGCTTCCGTTGAATAAT